TATCAAGTATGATGAAGATTATTGATAGCTCTCTGTCTACTGAGGGTGGGCTTTGCCACTAAAGAAGTTCAGGTCAGGTCAAGTCTTGCTGCCAAATAAATTAGGAAACAATTTTTAAGTTGTAGAATTTTTTAGATTTTGAATTGTGGCTGAGGATCTATGGACCAGGAATAGCAAAAAGTTGGAAACAACCTAAACAGATATCATTAGGAAAAAAGACTTTAAAATGTGTGGCCTAATTATATGATGAATATATTCAGCAATGAAAATGAATAAACTCGAGCTACATGTTTCATTGTAGATACGTCTTTTTATTTATTTTTATTTTTTAAAGATTGGCACCTGAGCTAACATCTGTTATCAATCCTTTTTTTTTTTTTCTTCTTCTCCCCAAAGCCCCCAGGTACATAGTTGTGTATTTTTAGTTGTGGGTCCTTCTAGTTGTGGCATGTGGGATGCTGCCACAGCATGGCCTGATGAGCAGTGCCATGTCTGTGCCCAGGATCCGAACCGGTGAAACCCTGGGCCACCAGAGCAGAGCACAGGAACTTAACCACTCGGCCACGGGACTGGCCCCCCATTGTGGATACGTCTTATAAAAATAATGTCAGGAGAAAGCAAGTGGCAGGAGAATATTTTCATGATCAGTTGGGGTAAGCCAGGTTACATTGTAGTAACAAACAGTCCCTATATCTCAGAGGCTTAAAGCAAAGTTTTGTTTCTTGCTCATGTGACATGTTCATCAGATGGTGGCCAGATGGGGTTGGGGAAACTTCCACCAGCGAGTGGGGCAGCTGCTCTGGGGAACACCAATGACTGCTGTGGAAGAGAGAAAAGAGTGGCCTAAGGATGCAGTGGGTCTTAAAGCTGCTGGCAGGAAGTGATGCCTGTCGCTTCTGCTCTGAGTCTCAGTTTCCTGGCTGGAGGTTACCAGGGTCAACGCTCAGTCAACAGGCGTGCCTGGCACTGGAGGCACTGGATGCCAAGGCTCCTGGGACCTGGAGAGCGTTCCGCGCATGTCAGCGATCTTTATCTGTGCACTGCCTCTGGGAGTTTGAACTGAGATAGTCATTGCTCTGTGATGTTATCACACTACCTGTGATTAGTGTTTATGGATTGTGCAACGGCGAGTGCCTGGAAACTTCTCTAGAAGAGTCTGAAGGGGTGGGCAGGGCATGGGGTTACTTTTGACTTACTTTAGGCTGTGGATCCTTTTCTTTTGTGTTTGGTTTGGGCAAGCATGTAACTGGGTGTTGACATGCACACGAGGCCCAACTTGTGCTCTCCTGGAATTTCTCCAGGGACCTCCCTTTCTTTTGGCTACTCCCCTCCTCTAAAACTTTCAAGGGCTCCCTATGGCTCATAGGAAAAAGCAGAGAATAGCAACAGATCCCACTGACTGAGCACCTGCTGCATGCCAGACACTTTACAGTCGCTATCTCAAATCCCCACAGTGACTCTGGGAAGGAGGAACTGTACGATCCCCATTTTGCAGACGTGGAAACAGAAGCTCAGACAGGGGAAATGACTTGCTGAGATCACAGAGTGAGGGCGAGGAAGAGGCAGGACTGGTTGGTCACCAGATCTTTCTGACTCAGGGGCTCCTGCTGAGCCACAGGGGCAGCCCCTCTGGCCTCACCCCTCCCCTTTTCTTTTCCCCTGGAGGGACCAGATGCTCCAGCCAGGCAGGCCTCCTCTCACAGCCCACCTCGAGCAAGCCTGTCTCAACTCCCCTTCAAAGGTCATCAGAATCTCGCAGGACGCCTCCCCTGACTGCCGGCCACATGAGTCCCGCCCTGACAGCATCGTACATAGCTTTTCACTTTCCCGTCGGTCCTGCCCCTGGCCTGCGAGAGCCTCTGTTACGGGCAGAGGCACCTCTCCCCTCGGCTCCCAGAGCACCCGGACTCCTGGCTTCGCCACCTACTTCTCCGTCTCCCTGGCAGACTCATGCTCTTCTCCTCGGCCGTTCAAAGTCGGGCTCGGCACCGCGCGCTCCTTCTCGTCCTCAGATCCAGTGCCCCACAGTCTGTCTTTTCAGAAGACAAACACAAGCACTTTTCATATACTTATTGGCCATTTGGATATCTTCTTTTATGAATGCCTCTTCAAGTCTTTTGCTTGTTTTTTTTTTCCTTATTGGGTTGTTGGCTGGATTTGAGTTATCAGCCATATATTTCTATTTCTTCTCCTACCGTGCAGCCTATTCTTTCCCTTAATGGTCTCTTTCGATGAAGAGAAATTCTTATTTTAACATAGCCCAATTTATCAGATTTTTCCCTTTGGGTTGGTATTTGTGTCCTCTTTGAGAGATCTTTGCCAACTCCAAGGCCATAAAAGTATTCTTCTATGTTTTTGCCTAAAAGCTGTTTTATTGTTCCCATTCTGATTTACAATCCATCTTGAGTTGATTCTGTGGCCAGTGCGAGGCAGGCAGAAGCTTCTTTTTCCCACGTGGAAATCCCATTGACCTGGCACTAGTTCAATTAAACAAAACCTTGCATGGTGGGTGTTCATTGTACAATTCTTTCCACTTCCCTACAGGTTTAAACATGTTTTAAATAAAATGTTGGAGGGAAATGATGGAAAAAAAAGGTAGAAGGACTGTTGTAGATAAACAAATACTATGGAAATAATTCCAAATGCAATGTGTAAGCCTTGATTTGATAATGTTAGAGGAAAAACAAACAGCTTTAAAAGACATTCTTTAAAGAAATGGGGAAATTTGGGAATGGATTGGATATCCCAGGATATTATGGTATGGTTGTTCATTTTTCCAGGTGTCACAATATTATTGTGGTTATGTAGGAGAATGTCAGTTTTCTTAGGACTTCTGCGGAAGTATTGAGGTACGAAGGACCAGTAAGACAGCACCCTACTTTTAAATAATGCAGAAAAAAAACTGTACATATGAATATAGATAGATACATCTGGAAAAATAACAATTGTTGCATGCAGGTGGAGAATGGACAGGTGTTCCTGTACTATTCTTTCAACTTTTCTGTATGTTTGAAAAGGTTTATTAAACATAAAACAATAAAGGTTTATTAAAACATGGCGGGCCAGATAAAAGAAGTTGCAGGTCAGATTATTCCAGCTGGTTTGGGATTTCTGGTCCAGGGCCTCCCCTCTGCCATCCTACTTCTTTCACATCACATCCCTGTGGGTGGCAGACTGGGCCCATCTCACAGGTGACAAATAGGAGCTCAGAGGAGTAAGCGATTTGCCCAACGTCACACAGCCAGTTGAGGCCAAGCCAAGATTTGAAGCTCATCTGTCTGAGCCAAAATTCTCTGCTTTTTTGTTCCTTCTTTAAGCCTCTTCTGTCCCATCCCATCTCCCCGGGCTGCAGGAACTGGTGAGAGTTGCGTGCACTCACTACGTGCCAGCCTTTGGATGTATGACTCAACTCCTCACAACAACCTGATGTGGTTGTTACTAAAAACGTCCCCCATTTTACTGAGAGGCACAGAGAGGTTAAGCAACCTGCCTAAGGTCACTCAGGTATGAGTGGATGAGTTGGGAGTCAAGAACCCTGGGCAGCCTAGCTATACTACCCTCACTTAAAGGATCAAGGAAACCCATAAAAAGTATAAATCACTTTAGGAGTATAAAGCAGGATTATTGTTGGTTCTCACAGAATCCCTGCAAAGTCCTCTCTCCTCCGGACTGCTTCTGGCCTTCCAAGACAGTGCCCCAGGTTCAGACGTGTCTACACAGGGAACATCTGCCGCCTCACTGCTGCTGGCAGCTTCTTGAAGTTGGGGCTGGTTCTCCGGGCCCTCACCATGAGTCTCCAGGGACTGCTCAGTGCCTTTGGAGGGCTTCTGGGCGGGGCCAATCTTAAGGCAACATTTTGGATATGGTCTCACACCATCCTGTGGGGTAGGATACCAGTTTGCCTGAAAGATGCGAATAGGAGCCGGCTGGAATGCTGAAGAAGTTGTAACCTAGCGGCCAAGGACCTGTCTTGGGAGACAGGTCAATCTTGATTTAGCCCTTGCTGCAAGGCTTGGGTGAATTGCTTCTCCCTTTAGGAGCCTGGGTTTCCTCATTTTTACAACAGTAATAACAAGAGCACGGGTCTCAGGGCCTTTGTGGGGATTTAATGAGCTAAGTAAAGCCACATTGCTAACTATTAGCAATTACATCACTGTTATCATTGCACTCCTTATGATTCTGCCTAGAGCTCCCGCCTGCTGCCTGCAGCTCTCCCTGCCTCACTGGATTTTATCCATGCTGGCCTGGGAGTCTACCCGCGTGCAGATCAGGCTTTTTTACCTCTGGGCCTTTGCACCTGCTGTTCACCCTTTTATGTCTCAGCTCATGTGAGCTGCTCAGTCAGGCCTTCCTTGACCACAGGAGCCCGCCTCCGACACACTCTTTTGTTTTATTGTGTTCATATCACTTATCAGTATCTGATATTATGAACCGATATGTTTCTTTCTCTCCTCCCATCTGAACGCAAGTTGCAAGAAATCGGAGATTTTGGCCGTTTTGTTCTCTGCAGCATCCGCAGCACCAAGAACAGTGTCTGGCGTACGTCCGGCGTTCCACACGCGGTAAACCAGTAAACGAAGGAAGGAAAGAAGGAATGAATGAAGGTGACCACGGAGCCCTCGTGCCTATGATCCCAGCTCTCCCGCCGCAGCTGGGGGCCGCGGTCGGCCGCCGGGCTCCGGGACCCGGGCGCCCACGCGCGCCCACGCCTGCGCTCGAGCGAGGCCCTCGGAGCCGGGCGAGGGGCGATCGCCACGCGGCCGCGTTCCCCGCGGGGCCGGGCGGGGGTCGGCGGGCGGGGGCAACGGCGTCCGGCGCTGGCCCCGCCCCGGCCCGGCCCCGCCCGCCGCCCGCCGCCCGCCCCGCCCTCCGCCCCGCCGCGGCGCCGCGCTCGCTCGGGCCGCGCCGGCCCCCGCCCGCTTCATGTGGCCCGGCCCGCGGCGGCGGGCGGCTGGCAGCGACGCGGCGGCGGCGAGCGGCGGCCAGCGAGGCCCGCGCGCGGGTGGCCGAGGCCCAGGCGGCGGCGCGCGGGGAGCGGCGGGAGCAGGCCCGGCCCGGCCCAGGCGCGGCGGCCCGGCTGCAGCATGCGCGTCCGCCGGGGGCTGCTGCGGCTGCCGCGCCGCTCGCTGCTCGCCGCGCTCTTCTTCTTCTCGCTGTCGTCCTCGCTGCTCTACTTCGTCTATGTGGCGCCCGGCATAGGTAGGAGGGGGCCTGGGGCCGGGGGGAGGCCGCTCCGGGAGGCCGGGCTCCGCCTGGCCTCGGAGGACCCCCGGGACGACGGCGGGGACCCGGCCGACCCGCGGGAGACCCCACGCCTGGCCCTCGGGGGGACGCCAGGACGTTCCCGCCCCCTGCGCCCCGCCGGGCTCCGGAACCGCCTCCGCCCGCCGGCCTCCCGCCCACCCTGCTCTCCCCACCCCATCCCCGGGGGACCCCGGCCGTGCCTCCGCTTCGCGCGGGGACGCCCCCTCCGCCGCCCTGTCTCCCTGGACCAGCTTCCCGCTCCTCGATCCCCGCCCGGGGCTCGCCAGCCCCCTCCCGGCGTTCCGCGCACCCCGGCCGCGCCGCCCCCGCCCACCCGCCTCGCCGAGCCGGTGCCCCGGTCTCCAGGCGCCCCACCTTCCCGGTTCCCATCCATCCTTCCCCTCCTTCCTCCCGGTGACTCCGCCGTTTCCTGCCCCCCCCCCCCGCCCTTTCTTCCCTCCACTTTCCCCGGTTACCTCCACCGCCAGGTCATCCTCCCCGGCACACACGTTCTCTTCCGAGTGGCCGGATCCCTTTCCTCGCCGGGTGGCACCCTCCCCCCGTGTGGAGGTACACCCCCATCCCATCTCCTAACCCCTGAGGTCCCACCCCTCCTCCCCACCTCCGACCCCCCCTGCCCTGCCTACCCCCGAGGGCACACCCTTGTCGTCTCCTCCCCCTTCCCCCCTCTCCCTCCTCAAATCCCACCTCCCCTTCCATCCATCTTCTGCCTCAGTTTCCTCCTGCCTGAGGCTCGGGGAAGGGGTGCTCTGGGCTCTTCCTTTCTTGCACTTCTGCCCTCTCCTAGCCTTGAGGGTAGAAGGTGGCTCTTCAGTATCCCATGGTGTCTGCTGTGGGGACAGAGGGGAAATTTACATGGGCCCTAGAGGAGGAAATAATGATTAAGGGCCTTGGGGAAGTGGTGCCAGGTGGGAAGGAGGAGCGTGGAGAAAAGATGCAATGGGTACTCATTCTTCTGAAAGGCATGTCCTTTAAAGGAAAGGGCCTCCAGAGAAACTGAGCTCTGCCCAGCCATAGGCTTTGTAAGACCAGAGAGCAGACACTTAGGACATAAAGAAAGAGATTGCTAGCAGGAAATACAGCATGAGGGTTAAGGTCAGAGGACATTGAGGTCAGACTTGGATTCCAATCCCTGCCCTGTATGACCTTGGGCAAGTTATTAAGCCTCACCTTTTCTCTTCTGTAAAATGGGGGTACAATTCTTAACCTCATAGGGTTTTAAGGGCCGAAGTAGATAAATTCCCTTTTAAAGCCCTTATCACTATACCCGGTGCATAGCGAGTTTTCAAAAAAAAAGGTTATTATAGGTAACTTTAGAGAAAGAAGGGAGTAGATGGAAGGGTTAAGGAATATATTTGCCTGACTAGGCATCAGCACAGGGCTCGGGAGAGAACCTCAGTTTAGGGTGAGAAATGATCAGAAGATGCTGTTGGGGGTGGGGCAAGGAGACTAAATTCTTCTATGAAAAGTCTGGATTATTTGGATATTCGGAAAGGGTTGGTGATTTAACCGGAGGGAAATGCTCTTTTGGATTGTAATCATGACTAGTACCATTCTCTGTTGATCTGTCAACACCGAACTAGCTGAATAGAGAAATTTCTAGATAGAGCAGGAGAGTATCTCCTGATTTTTTTTTTAAGAGCATATTTCATTTGGTGGTTAATGTTAATGATTTCTACTGTAAACTAGATCCAGGAAGAAGGAACAGGCAGCATCAGGTTACCCTAACAATTTGTGAGGTGTCTTAGGAGAAGCGTCCCTCTAGGAAGGCACAGGATGTGACCTGCTGGAGCAGATGAGTAGATAGGAATTTTGGCAGAACAAGAATAGGTGAGTAATTAGTGGAATTAATTGAGAAAAGAATTCATTAGCATATTGGATATTAGCGTATAATAAAACTGGGTGTGAAATGATGGGTTTGGATCTCTAGGCAGTCTTGGAGCCATAACCCCTTTTGTGAAAGTGACAGGTTATTTCTGGTGTGGGTGCATATATCAGCCATATCTAAATGGAGAAATATATCCCACTGGGATGGTAATCACCCTTTTGATTAGAAAGGTTAGAAGCCAGACTCTCTGACAGAAATGGAACTTACCAACTTAATTAAAATTCCTGAATGGTAGATTTTTAGGTCAGTGGAACCCCAGTGTAAATCGATGGGCTACTACCACGCTTAGATTTCTGTATGAATAATAACTGGAAAAGATGCAAAGCACTTAAGTTTTCACCGGTTTCTCCTTAAATGTAGGTCTTGTAAAGGACAGATCTGCTTAAGATTCAAATTCTGTTGGTGGCAAAGGGGAGAGGTGGAGAGGGCAGTTTTTTAAAAAAGTGGTTTTAGGGTCCTCACAAGCAGGTTGCGTTCAGCCTAGTGGTTTTATTTTTTCTTGGCTTTCCTTTTAATGAACTCAGTTTTTCAAATGACCAGCTTTGGACAGAGGGTGGCAAATCTTTTCAAAAGGTTAAGGCAATCTAGAGAAATAGAAGGTTTTATGTGCCTTGGGCTATGAAGACCTTATTTGAGACAGTTATTAAAATGAGCTTGGAAAATAACATTAGGTTGAACCATATGAAATTTGGGTTTTGGCAGGTCAAAAACAGTTGGATATCGGCTAATACATTTCCAAATAATGATAGTTCTGTTTTCTGGCATCATGGAAAGTGTCAGACTTGTATTTCCTTCCAGGTTTAATTTTTTCCAGTCCTGCTTTCGAGTTGCTTTGTATACCCTGTGGCCACGTTTCGCTCAAAGGCTAAAGAGAAATCATTAGTCCAAGAGTGAGTTACAACTATATTCAGAGACAGGTAGACTTGAGTTTGAGATAAGAGAAAAGTCACGTTAGTTATAAATGTTTTAAAGTTGTTCATGTATAATATAACCTAGCCACAATTTCAGCCTAACTATTAACTTAGTATTTTTGAGATCTCATGCCAGCTTTTAATATGGATCATAGTCTGAGAGCAAAGGGAAATTTTCCTGGACTTGTGGGTCACCTGAAATGGGGGTAATGGTACCCTTTGACCTAGGAAATTGGAGTGTTACTAAATATGGGTGTAGTATGTTTGTAACAAATACAGAGTGCTCTGGGCTAGTTTAATATCCTCATCCCAATCCAGTTAATGATTTTTAAATATGGCTTCATTGGACATTATGTTTTTGTTATTAATTTAAAAGTAGTGTTTTATATCAGCAGTTTAAAAGTAGAAATGAAAGGATGGGGCAGAAAGTGTGAGGGAGGTGGTAGATTTGGAAAAGGAAGAGGGAGGAAGGTGATCCAGCGATAAAAAGCTTACATCCCTCTCCTCTCCGTCCGCCCCCCCCCCCCCCCCGCAGCCTGGCTGAGTCTCGGTTACGTAATCACTTGTTTCACCTGAACTGTTGAAATAGCCCTTTTCATTTCGGGGTTCTGAAGAAAACTTTGAACTTATTTGTGATCTTTTAACTTAAAAAAAAAATCTAAGAGCTCAGAGTACTTCCATATTGTAGTCTGACCAGGTCTTTTAGAAGATAAGAGAAGTGAATTATTTATAGATGTACGTATGAAGTGATGGTTTAAAAACATCATAATGAGTTTATGGTGCTATCGTAGGGCAAGGTTGGATAGAGGTTACAAATTGTTAAAATATATACTGATTTTGAGACAGGTGCCTGTGTACAGTTAGAGGTGATGTTCTATGCGTTGATGAAATTTCAGTGAAGTTCTACCATTGAAACTAATTTTTCTTTTGTCCTTTGATTATTGAGGAAAGGAAATGGGGAACGATTTTCCCCTTTTGGCCTGCCTAGTTCGGAGAAAAGTTTGACTGATGGCTGGCCTCTGGAAGGCAGGAAACAGCGATTCTGACCCCACCCGATTTGACCAAATGACCTTGAGCAAGTCACTTGATTCTCTGATCTTATACTTGGCACAGAAACCAAAGCTGTTTGAAAAACCGGAACTTCATCTTAATAAAACTTTTAATGAGATGTTTGTACATATAGAAAGTTGACAGTTCATTCACATTCTGTACAAATATTGGACCTAAGATTTTAGATAAGATAGATGTTTTATATAATCAAATGCAGCTTTTTCTAATAACCATAGAAGAATTTCAGATTCCCCTCAGTGAAGTATAATATGAAAATAGCCTTTTGTTGCTGTTCCTCACATGCAAATGCCCTCTAAATGCCTGAGTGCACTTTGTTCCCGAGTTTTTCTGGAGTGAAACACACACAGTGAAATGTAAGCTGTTTTATTTCAGAAAATTAAAAAGCCTCACCCTGTGAAAGACCCCCCCCCCCCGACGTCCGACTGCGTGCGCTCACTCAAATTTATTTTCTTTGAGTATCGCGTTGTGTCAGGCTTCTTAGAAGGAAACCATATTTGGAGAACAAGGCCAAGTTATAAAACTCAACAGCATTACTTTGGACCAGGACTTTGGTGACCTTTGATGTCCTTTCTGCAGAATTTTGCTGTGTTGGACACACAGTTTTGGGTTTGGAGTAGAAATGTCTTTAACAGTGAAAATATGCTAGTCTTGGACGAACTTTGGAAGCTGCTGTTCAGACAGTGTCGGTTACCGTCCCAGGCTGCCGAGGCTCTAGCCAGTAGATGATTCTGTTCCAGTCCTGCCGTTTTCCCCCCTGAGCTTGACCAGTGGGTGGGAGCAGGGCTGATAAATCACCAGGAAGGAGGGGCTGTGTGTGGCCATGACTCTTGAGAGCTCTTCGGGAGAGTAGAAGTTCCACATGCACAGCCGCCAGGATGCTGCTGACTGACTTCTCCCCTGATTTTGCAGCTTTTTAGATCATGGGAGGTGTGTTGGGAACATCCAACTGTATAAAGCAAATGAAACGTTAGCAAGCAGAAGTAAGGAATGTGATGCTGCTGAGGCCTGACAAAGAAATAGAGAAAGCTGGAGGTTAAGCTTGGTCGAGATGAAGGATAATCAGA